GGCCGTCCCGCCGCCCTACACGCGGCCTACCCGCCGCCCTACCTGCGGCCGTCCGCCGCCCTACCTGCGGCCCACCCGCTGCCCTACCTGCGGCCCACCCGCCGCCCTACCTACGCGGCCCAGCGGCAGTCGAGCCGCCGCGCCGCCCAGGAGCAGCCGAACCGCCCACGAGCCGCCGAGCCGCCCAGCAGCAGCCGAGCCGCCCAGCAGCAGCCGAGCCGCCCAGCAGCAGCCGAGCCGCCCAGCAGCAGCCGAGCCGCCCGGAGCCGCCGAGCCGCCCAGCAGCAGCCGAGCCGCCCAGCACGAGCCGAGCCGCCCTGGAGCCGAGCCGCCCAGCAGCCTAGCGGCCGTGTCGCCAGGCGACCTTCCTCCCGAGCCGCCCGACCTGCCCTGCCCGGTGAGCACTGCCCTGCTGTCACTGCGTACCCTTCCCCTACTGCTTGCACTGCGCCACTGTCGTCGTCATGGCTACACCCAGTGTCCTCGCTTTTGACGCTGAGGGTCGAGCCATTGACTTTGAGGTCTGGCTCGACGACCTGCAGCTGTTTTTACAGTGCGACAGGGCCGACGGTCTGTCTCTCTTTGACCTCACCTCTGGCGCCGTCCCTGCCCCTACTGCTGATGCTGACGCCACTGTTCGCTCTCAGTGGGCCACGCGCAATGCTGCTGCACGTCTTGCTGTGCGTCGCCACCTGCCTACCGCTGAGCGCGCGCACTTTAGCCAGTACAAGAGTGCTCAGACCTTGTACGACGCTGTAGTTGCGCGCTACTCCTCCCCTGCCACTGCTGCACTGAGCCGCCTCATGCTCCCCTTCCTCTTCCTTGACCTTGCCGCCTTTCACACTGTCGCTGATCTCATCACGCACCTCCGCACTAGTGACACTCGCTACCGCGCTGCGCTTCCTGCTGACTTCTGCGCCAAGAACCCCCCCCCCATGTACATCACTCTCTACTTCCTAGTCACTCGCCTCCCTGACTCCCTTCGTGTAGTCCGGGACCACTTCCTCGCGGTCTGTCCCACCACCCTCACAGTCGACAGCCTCGAGAAGGCCCTCCTTGCAGCAGAGAAGAGCATAGTTGCTGTAGGAGCCTCTCGAGGTGACCCCCGCGCCCCCATCTTTGAGGGGTGTTCTCCTTCCCCTCTCCTGCCCTCTATCGCCTCTGCCGCTGCGGCCGACCTCGTTGGTCTTGAGTCGGTCGGTGCGGCGTCTGCCCCTAGCGGGAGACGCCGCTCTGGCAAGGGCAAGGGGGGCAAGGGAGCGGGTGGGGCCAGTGGGGGTGGTGGCGGTGGAGGTGGAGGCGGCGGAGGGAGTGGGGGTGGCGGTGGAGGTGGTAGCGGGGGTGGGGGTGCTATTGGCGGTAGTGGAGGCGGGAGTGGCGGCGGCGGTGGCGGTGGTAGCGAAGGTGGCGGAGGTGGCGGCAGTGGAGGTGGAGGCGGGGGCGGTGGAGGCGGAGGCGGGGGTGGCGGAGGTGGGGGTGGTCGGAGTGGAGCTTCGCAGCGGAGCGGCACTGGTGGCGGTCAGCGCCAGCAGCAGCAGCAGCAGCGTTCTCGCGACGTCCCCACCCCTCAGCAGCTCCGTGAGTGGTACACGCAGCGTCAGCGCGGTGGGGGTTTTGGTCCCTGCACCTACGTTCTCCGCACTGGCGACCGCACTGGGGAGATCCCCCGCTGGGGAGAGCTGTCTAGGGCTGGTGTAGCTATCTTTGATCTTGATTTTGATGCTATCCTTGCTGCCATGTATGCTGTGACCATTAGTGAGGAGGGTGACTGTTACCGGTGTTTCCCGCCCGACCCGTGCACTGGTACTGCTGCTCCAGGTGCCGGTGAGGCTTCTGCTCTAGGTGCCAGTGCGTCTGTTCTCTCAGGTGCTCGTGAGACTGCTCTCTCAGGTACTAGTGCGTCTGCGCCCTCAGGTACTTGCGTCGGCTTTGGCCTCCCTCACCTTCACTCTTGACTCTGGAGCGTCTCGCTCTTTCTTTCGGGACCGCACCACACTTACGCCGCTTAGTCGGCCGGTTGCGGTTTCCCTGGCTGACCCCTCTGGGGGTCCAGTCCTGTCTCGCTTCTCCACAGTCCTCCCGTGTCCGGCGGCTCCCTCTGGCACCCTGTCTGGTCTCTACCTCCCCTCGTTCTCTACAAACTTGGTGAGTTGTGCTGACCTACAGGATGTGGGAGTCCACCCGTTCACCCCTGCTCGTCAGCGAGTGACGCACTGCACAAAGGCTAGCACGGGTCGTCACCTGGCTACGTTTACACGTCAGCCAGGGTCGAGCCTGTACACACTGACCACTGCTTCTCCTCCAGGTGCTGAGTCTAGTAGAGTCCCTTCGTTTGGTCAGGTGTTTGCTGCAGCGTCCAGGTCTGGTCCTGAGTCTGCCCCCTGTTCGTGTCGCCGTCTGTCTCACGAGACCCTCCTCTGGCACCACCGCCTTGGCCACCCCTCTCTGCTTCGGCTCAGAGGCATGGCCTCCCGTCTTCTTGTGTCTGGTCTCCCCCGGTCTCTACCTCCCCTTCCTCAGGGCCCTAGCCCTGCCTGTGTCCCCTGTGTCGAGGGGCGCCAGCGTGCTGCCCCTCACTCCTCCCAGTTTCCTCCGACAGAGGCTCCGTTGCAGACGCTTCACATGGACGTGTGGGGCTCTGCCCGCGTCCGTGGACTCGGTCACGAGCGCTACTTCCTGTTGGTGGTTGACGACTACTCGCGTTACACCACAGTCTTCCCCTTGCGCAGCAAGGGTGATGTCACTGAGGTGCTGATCGAATGGATCCGCGCAGCTCGTCTCCAGCTCAGGCAGAGCTTTGGCTCGGACTTTCCTGTGCTGCGTCTGCACTCGGATAGAGGCGGAGAGTTCTCCTCTAGCCTTCTGCGTGCCTACTGTCGTGCGCGAAGCATCCGTCAGACCTTCACGCTTCCAGACTCCCCGCAGCAAAATGGGATTGCAGAGCGCCGCATTGGCATGGTCATGGACGTCGCTCGTACGTCCATGATGCATGCGGCTGCCCCCAATTTTCTGTGGCCGTTTGCGGTCAGGTACGCAGCGCATCAGATCAACCTCCACCCCAGGGTCTCCAGGCCGAAGACCTCCCCAGCCCTGCTGTGGACGGGGAAGGTTGGCGATGCGTCGGCGTTCCAGGTCTGGGGATCTCGGGCGTTTGTCCGCGACTTGTCTGCGGACAAGCTGTCCCCTCGCGCTGCTCCCTGCGTCTTCCTGGGGTTCCCCCCCGACGCCCCTGGGTGGCAGTTCTACCACCCCACCTCTCGACGTGTTCTGTCCTCCCAGGACGTCACGTTCGACGAGTCGGTACCCTACTACCGCCTCTTCCCCTACCGCACTCCGTCCCTCCCCCCGCCCCCGCTCTTCTTGGTACCAGGTCCCCCCCCGGTAGACCCCCTCCCCCGTCAGGGTCCTGCCCCTTCAGGTGTGTCCCAGGTAGACGCGGTCGAGCCTGTCGAGGTCACTGGTGACTCTTGTGCTGCTGCGCGAGCTGAGCCTCGGGGTGCTGAGCCTGGAGGTGCTACACTTGGGGGGTCTGAGCCTGGGGGTGCGGAGTCTGGAGGTGCTGAGCCTGGGGGTGCTGAGTCTGGGGGTGCTGAGCCTGGGGATGCTGGGCCTGGGGGTGCTGAGCCTGGGGGTGCTGAGCCTGGGGGTGCTGGGCCTGAGGGTGCTGAGCCTGGGGGTGCTGAGACTGGGGGTGCTACGCCTGGAGGTGCTTCGTCTCGTCGAGAGCCACTCTCCCCACAGGAGCTGCGTGAGTGGTTTGCCCGGCGCTGGAGGCGTGCTGCTGGTGCTGGAGGTTCTTCGGCTGCAGAGGGTACTGCTGCCGAGCGTCCCGGAGGTGCTCGTACTGTGGGTGCTAGATCTGCTGGGTCTGAGGGTTCTCCTGGAGCTGGTGCTGCTAAGGGTGTTGGCGCTGAGACTGCCGCTGACGGTCCGACTGGCATGTCAGAACTATATGGCTTATACTATTGTGTAGGCTATAGTGGGGTATCCCATAGGGGGTACAACCCAATTAGGGTTTCCTATTTGTACTCACTTCTTTCATAGTCATTCCATCCTCGTTCTCTCTTTCACATGGAATCAGAGCAGGTCCCCTACTAGGGACTGTTTCTTGGGCCCACCGAAGCGCGCCCCGAGGCGCGCGTCCTTTTTTTTAGCGACCCGTCGTGTCGCCCTCCCTAGCGGCCTGTCGAGCCGCCCTACCTTGCGGCCCCGCCGCCCTATCGCGCGGCCTCGCCGCCCTAAGTCGCGGCCTGCCCGCCGCCCTACTTCGACGGCCCGCCCGCCGCCCTACGTCGCGGCCCCGCCGCCCTGCGTCCCGGCCCGCCCGCCGCCCTACTTCGACGGCCCGCCCGCCGCCCTACGTCGCGGCCCCGCCGCCCTACGTCCCGGCCCGCCCGCCGCCCTACTTCGAAGGCCCGCCCGCCGCCCTACGTCGCGGCCCCGCCGCCCTCAGCTACGCGGCCCCGCCGCCTTCTGCTACGCGGCCCTGCCGCCCTCTGCTACGCGGCCCCGCCGCCCCTCGATCGCGGCCCCGCCGCCCTCTGCTACGCGGCTCCGCCGCCCTCTGCTACGCGGCCCCGCCGCCCTCTGCTACGCGGCCCCGCCGCCCTCTCCTACGCGGCACCGCCGCCCTCTGCTCCACGGCCCCGCCGAGCCGCCCAGCATCAGCCGAGCCGCCCCAGCAGCAGCCGAGCCGCCGCCGAGCCGCCGCCGCCTGAGCCGCCGCCCGGGCCGCCGCCGAGCCGCCGCCGCCTGCGCCGCCGAGCCGGAGCCGCCCGAGCCGCCGCCGAGCCGCCCAGCAGCAGCCGAGCCGCCGCCGAGCCGCCGCCGCCCGAGCCGCCGCTGAGCTGCGACCGAGCCGCCGCCCGAGCCGCCCGAACCGCCCGAGCCGCCCGAGCCGCCCGAGCCGCCCGAGCCGCCGTGCTGCTGTTCCTGAGCTGTGTTCTTCTGCTGCTGACCTACCCGACTCTCCCAGCCCGGTGAGACTTCCAGCTGCTGCCATGGCCACCCCCAATGTTCTTACTTTTGACGCTGAGGGGAGGGCCATTGACTTTGCCGTCTGGATTGAAGACCTGCAGCTGTACTTACTGTGTGATGCGATAGATGAGGTCTCTCTTTTTGACTTTGTCTCTGGCGCTGTTCCTGCCCCACCTGCTGATGCTGACTCTGCCGTTCGCTCCAAGTGGGCGACCCGCGATGCTGCTGCACGTCTTGCTGTGCGTCGCCACCTCCCTTCCTCTGAGCGTGCCCACTTTAGTCAGTGCAAGACCGCTCAGGCCTTGTACGACGCTGTAGTTGCACGCTACTCCTCCCCTTCCTCCGCTACCCTTAGCCGCCTCATGCTACCGTTTCTCTTCCCTGACCTCGCTTCCTTTCCCACTGTCGCTGACCTCGTTACCCACCTCCGTGCTAGTGACACCCGCTACCGCGCTGCCCTTCCTGCTGAGTTCCGCGCTGCGAACCCTCCTCCCATGTACATCACCCTCTACTTTCTCGTCACCCGTCTCCCTGAGTCCCTTCGTGTCGTTAGGGACCAGTTTCTCTCTGTCTGTCCCACCACTCTCACTGTCGACCTCCTTGAAGAGTCCCTGCTAGCGGCTGAGAAGAGTATTGTCGCTGTAGGGGCCTCTCGGGGTGACCCTCGCACCCCCATCTTTGAGGGGTGTGGTCCTTCCCCCCTGCTGCCCTCTGTCGCCTCTGCCGCTGCGGCCGACCTCACTGGTTTTGAGTCGGTCGGCGCGGCGTCTGCCCCCAGCGGCAGACGCCGCTCTGGCAAGAGCAAGGGGGGCAAGGGAGCGGGTGGAGCTCGAGGGGGCGGTGGAGGAGGCGGTGGGGGTGGCGGGGGGAGTGGGGGTGGCGGTGGGGGTGGTGGCGGGAGTGGAGGTACTGGTGGCGGCGGTGGAGGCGGAGGTGGCGGCGGAGGTGGTAGCGGAGGAGGCGGTGGGAGCGGTGGGAGCGACGGTCCTGGTGGGGGAGGTGGCGGTGGAGACGGGGGTGGCGGTGGAGGCGGGGGTGGCGGTGGAGGCGGGGGTCGGAGTAGCTCTTCCCAGCGGAGCAGCTCTGGGGGTGGTCAGCGCCAGCAGCAGCAGCAGCAACAGCAGCAGCCGCAGCAGCAGCCACAGCAGCAGCAGCGCTCTCGCACCGTCCCCGGCCCTCAGCAGCTCCGTGAGTGGTACTTGCAGCGTCAGCGTGGTGGTGCGCTTGGTCCCTGCCCCTACGTTCTTCGCACAGGTGACCGTGCAGGGGAGAGGTGTGGAGGCGCCCACACAGCCCGCCGCTGCTTTGGCCGCCTGACCGACGCCTGGCGTCAGCAGTTTCCGGAGGCCGCTGAGATCCCCCGCTGGGGAGAGCTGTCTAGGGCTGGTGTAGCTATTTATGATCTTGATTTTGATGCTATTCTCTCTGCTATGTATGCTGTGACTGGTAGTGATGAGGATGACTGTTACCGGTGTTTCCCGCCCGACCCGGGCATTGGTACTGCCGCGTCAGGTACTAGTGAGGCTGCTGCTCTAGGTGCCAGTGCGTCTGTGCTCTCAGGTGCTGGTGAGTCTGCCCTCTCAGGTACTGTGTCGGCTTCGGCCTCTCACACCTTCACCCTTGACTCTGGAGCGTCTCGCTCCTTCTTTAGGGACCGCACCACTCTCACGCCGCTGAGTCGGCCGGTTGCGGTGTCCCTGGCTGACCCCTCTGGGGGGCCTGTCCTGTCTCGCTTCTCCACTGTCCTCCCGTGTCCGGCGGCCCCCTCTGGCACCCTGACTGGTCTCTACCTCCCCTCGTTCTCGACGAACTTGGTGAGTGGTGCTGACCTCCAGGATGCGGGTGTCCACCAGTTCACCCCTGCTCGTCAGCGGGTGACCCACTGCACGGAGGCCGATACAGGTCGCCACCTGGCTACGTTTACACGTCGGCCAGGGTCGAGCCTGTACACACTGACCACTGTTTCTCCTCCAGGTGCTGAGTCTGGTAGGGTCCCTTCGTCTGGTCAGGTGTTTGCTGCAGCGTCCAGGTCTGGTCCTGAGCCTGCCCCCTGCTCGTGTCGTCGTCTGTCTCACGAGACCCTCCTCTGGCACCACCGCCTTGGCCACCCCTCTCTGCTTCGGCTCAGAGGCATGGCCTCGCGAGTCCTTGTGTCTGGTCTTCCCCGGTCTCTCCCTCCCCTTCCTCCGGGCCCTGGCCCTACCTGTGTCCCCTGTGTCGAGGGGCGCCAGCGTGCTGCCCCTCACTCCTCCCAGTTTCCTCCGACAGAGGCCCCGTTGCAGACGCTTCACATGGACGTGTGGGGCCCAGCCCGCGTCCGTGGACAGGGTCAGGAGCGCTACTTCCTGCTGGTGGTTGACGACTACTCGCGTTACACCACAGTCTTCCCCTTGCGCAGCAAGGGTGAGGTCACTGCGGTGTTGATCGACTGGATCCGCGCAGCTCGTCTCCAGCTTAGGAGGAGCTTTGGCTCTGACTTCCCTGTTTTGCGTCTGCACTCGGACAGAGGCGGAGAGTTCTCCTCTGGCCTCCTGAGTGCCTACTGTCGTGCACGAGGCATCCGTCAGACCTTCACGCTTCCGGACTCACCACAGCAGAATGGGATTGCTGAGCGCCGCATTGGCATGGTCATGGACGTCGCTCGTACGTCCATGATGCATGCGGCTGCTCCCCATTTTCTGTGGCCGTTTGCGGTCAGGTACGCTGCGCACCAGATCAACCTCCACCCCAGGGTCTCTCGACCGGAGACCTCCCCAGCCCTGCTGTGGACGGGGAAGGTTGGCGATGCGTCGGCGTTCCGGGTCTGGGGATCTCGGGCGTTTGTTCGCGACGTGTCTGCGGACAAGCTGTCCCCTCGTGCTTCTCCCTGCGTCTTCCTGGGGTTCCCCCCCGACGCCCCTGGGTGGCAGTTTTACCACCCCACCTCTCGACGTGTTCTGTCCTCCCAGGACGTCACGTTCGACGAGTCGGTACCCTACTACCGCCTCTTCCCCTACCGCACTCCGTCCCTCCCCCCAACCCCGCTCTTCCTGGTACCAGGTCCCCCCTCGGTAGTCCCTCTCCCCCCTCAGGGTCCTGCCCCTTCGGGTGTGTCCCAGGTAGACGCGGTCGAGCCTGTCGAGGTCACTGGTGACTCTGGTGCTGCTGCGGGAGCTGAGCCTGGGGGTGCGGAGCCTGGGGGTGCTGAGCCTGGGGGTGCTGAGCCTGGGGGTGCTGTGCCTAGGGGTGCTGAGCCTGGGGGTGCTACGTCTGGGGGTGCTCAGCCTGGAGGTGCAGAGCCTGGGGGTGCTGTGCCTGGGGGTGCTGAGCCTGGGGGTGCTGTGCCTGGGGGTGCTTCCTCTCGCCGGGAGCCACTCTCCCCGCAGGAGCTGCGTGAGTGGTTTGCCAGGCGCTGGAGGTGTGCTGCTGGTGCTGGTGGTTCTTCGGCTGCTGAGGGTACTGCTGCCTCGCGTCCCGCCGGTGCTCGTACTGTGGGTGCTGGAGCTGCTGGGTCTGAGAGTTCTCCTGGAGCTGGTGCTACTAAGGGTGTTGGCGCTGAGCCTGCCGTTGGCGGTCCGACTGACAGTGCTCCTGGTGCTGCTGCTGGAGGTTCTGGAGCTTCTGGTGGTGCTGCTGGAGGTGCTGCTGGAGTGGGTACTCCTGCCGAGGCTGCTGGTACTGTTCCTGCTGTCTCTGGTGTCGCCGCGCGGCCCCGACCTTACTTCGTTCCGCTCCTGCAGCAGGTTCTTGGTCTTCCGCCTCCTCCTCCTCCTCCCTTAGAGGGTCCGCAGCCTGTCCGGTCACAGCCACAGCTACAGCCTGCCTCCCCTTTGCCTGCTCCGTCTCCCTACACTGGTCCGACTGGAGGTCTTACTGAGCGTCGTGAGCCTGCGTCTCGTCCTGTGTCGCCTGTTCGTACTGAGCGCGCTAGTGGTCGCGGGTCGCGTCAGCGTCCTCCTCCTGTCCCTGGCACGCACCGGATGTCACTGCGTCCGTCCACTGCTCCTCTGCGTGCCCCTTTGCCTTCTCCTCCTGCTTCCTCTCTTCCAGCTCTTGCCGACCCGGAGTCGGACTCCCTTCGTGCTGCCAGTCCTACTGTCACGCGTCTCCTTACTACAGCTGTCACTGACCCTTCCTTCGAGTCGTCTGCTGCGTCTGCCCTTGTCACTGAGCTTGTCGACTTTGCTGCGCGCTGTCGTCTAGACTACGCTGCCCGTCTTGTCACTGAGTCTGAGTCCGCCTGTCCTCCGTCCGTCGGGGGTGAGTGTGCCCTTGGCACGGACGTCCTTGAGGACAGGCAGGAGGAGTTCCAGTGTCTGGCCGCCGCTTCACCTCGTCTCGCGTCTGTACTGCTAGCCCCTGAGGGAGACCCGGATGCACCAGACATCCCGACTCCGCGCTCTTACGCGGAGGCGATAGAGGGTCCCTACTCCTCTCAGTGGCAGGCAGCTATGGATGCAGAGATGGCTTCCTGGAAGTCCACAGGCACCTACGTTGACGCTGTTCCCCCCCCTGGGGCGAACATCGTCAGTGGCATGTGGATTTTCAGGGTGAAGCGGCCGCCGGGTTCTCCGCCTGTCTTCAAGGCGCGTTACGTGGCTCGTGGCTTCAGTCAGCGGCAGGGGGTTGACTACTTTCAGACCTTCTCCCCCCACCCCGAAGATGACCACTCTTCGGGTCCTGCTGCACGTTGCTGCTCACCGTGACTACGAGCTGCACTCTCTCGACTTCAGCACAGCTTTCTTGCAGGGCAGCCTGCACGAGGAGATCTGGCTGCGTCGCCCACCTGGCTTCACTGGGTCTTTCCCTCCTGGTACCCAGTGGAGTCTCCGGCGTCCAGTCTACGGTCTCCGCCAGGCGCCACGTGAGTGGCACGACACACTGAGGACTACGCTCGCGGCACTTGGGTTTGCTCCTTCTACTACCGACCCGTCGCTGTTTCTGCGCACCGACACCTCTCTGCCGCCGTTCTACATCCTTGTGTACGTCGACGACTTGGTCTTTGCCACAGCTGACACTGCTGGACTCGCCTACGTGAAGTCCGAGCTGCAGAAGAGACACACGTGCACTGACCTGGGTGAACTGCGCAGCTATCTTGGCTTGCAGATCACCCGGGACAGAGCACGCCGCACCATTACCCTGACTCAGTCACACATGGTGCAGCAGGTCCTTCAGCGCTTCGGCTTCACGTACTCCTCGCCTCAGGCCACTCCTCTGCCTACTCGCCACTCGCTCTCAGCTCTGCCTTCGGATGAGTCCGTAGAGTCGAGTGGCCCGTATGCAGAGCTTGTTGGCTGCCTCATGTACCTGATGACCTGCACACGACCTGACCTTGCATACCCTCTTAGCATTCTCGCACGCTATGTTGCTCCTGGGAGACACCGACCAGAGCACATGGCTGCAGCGAAGAGGGTGTTGCGCTACTTGTGCAGTACGTCGGGCATGGGGCTAGTGCTTGGAGGGCGCAGTCCAGTGGTCCTCACTGGGCACGCGGACGCTTCTTGGGCTGACGACCAGGCTACGCAGCGGTCGTCACAGGGTTACACCTTCAGCCTTGGTTCCGGCTCTGTTTCGTGGCGGGCTACCCGCTCGTCTTCTGTTCTCGGCTCCAGTTGTGAGGCTGAGATCTACGCCGGGGCTATGGCTGCACAGGAGTTACGCTGGCTCACCTACCTGTTGACCGACCTTGGAGAGCAGCCTCGTTCTCCTCCAGTCCTGTACGTAGACAACAAGGCCATGCTGGCCTTGTGTCGACAGCAGAGACTGGAGCACAGAACGAAGCACATTGCTCTCCGCTACTTTCTTGCTCGTGAGCTACAGCAGCGTGGACAGTTGCGACTTGCGTACGTGGCCTCTGAGGCCAACACTGCTGATGTCTTCACCAAGGCACTTGCGCCTTGTGATCATCAGCGTTGTTGCACGCAGTTGGGTCTTGTGCCTGTCTTGCCTCACTTGCTCTCCTCTTGACCTTGCTTGTACCTTCGCCTATATATACTCTTGCTCTTGCTTACTTGACTCTTGTATATCTCTATATATGATCTTGCATGTGAACTGGCCATGTGGCCTTGAACTTGTGCTCAGAATGTGTGGTGACTTTGTGATCCACCCTGAGCTTTGCTTTGCTTTGCTTGACTGGTCTTGTGACCCCTTGTTCTCCCCCACTTTGCCTATGGGGGTGTGTCAGAACTATATGGCTTATACTATTGTGTAGGCTATAGTGGGGTATCCCATAGGGGGTACAACCCAATTAGGGTTTCCTATTTGTACTCACTTCTTTCATAGTCATTCCATCCTCGTTCTCTCTTTCACATGGCAGTGCTCCTGGTGGTGCTCCTGGAGGTTCTTGAGCTACTGGAGGTGCCGCTGGAGGTGCTGCTGGAGCGGGTACTCCTGCTGGGGGTACTGGTGCTGTCCCTGCTGTTTGTGGCGTCGCCGCGCGGCCCCGACCGTACTTCGTTCCGCTCCTGCAGCAGGTTCTTGGTCTTACACCTCCTCCTCCTCCCCTTCCTCCCTTAGAGGGTCCACAGCCTGTCTTGACACAGTCACAGCTACAGCCTGCCTCTCCTTTGCCTGCTCCTTCTCCCTACGCTGGTCCGACTGGAGGTCTTACTGAGCGTCGTGAGCCTGCGTCTCGTCCTGCGTCGCCTGTTCGTACTGCGCGCGCTAGTGGTCGCGGTTCGCGTCAGCGTCCTCCTCCTGTCCCTGGCACGCACCGGATGTCTCTGCGTCCGTCTACTACTCCCCTGCGTGCCCCTTTGCCTTCTCCTCCTGCTTCCCCTCTTCCTACTCTTGCCGACCCGGAGTCGGACTCTCTTCGTGCTACCAGTCCTACTGTCACGCGTCTCCTTGCTAGTGCTGTCACTGACCCTTCTTTCGAGTCTTTTGCTGCGTCTGCCCTTGTCACTGAGCTCGTCGACTTTGCTGCGCGCTGTCGTCTAGACTACGCTGCTAGTCTTGTCGCAGAGTCTGAGTCTGCCTGTCCTCCGTCCGTCGGGGGTGAGTGTGCCCTTGGCACGGACGTCCTTGAGGACAGGCAGGAGGAGTTCCAGTGTCTGGCCGCCGCTTCACCTCATCTCGCATCTGTACTGCTAGCCCCTGAGGGAGACCCGGATGCACTAGACATCCCGACTCCACGATCTTACGCGGAGGCGATAGAGGGTCCCTACTCCTCTTAGTGGCAGGCAGCTATGGATGCAGAGATGGCTTCCTGGAAGTCCACAGGCACCTACGTTGACGCTGTCCCCCCTCTTGGGGCGAACATCGTCAGTGGCATGTGGATCTTCAGGGTGAAGCGGCCGTCGGGTTCTCCGCCTGTCTTCAAGGCGCGTTACGTGGCTCGTGGCTTCAGTCAGCGGCAGGGGGTTGACTACTTTCAGACCTTCTCCCCCACCCCGAAGATGACCACTCTTTGGGTACTGCTGCACGTTGCTGCTCACCGTGACTACGAGCTGCACTCTCTCGACTTCAGCACAGCTTTCTTGCAGGGCAGCCTGCACGAGGAGATCTGGCTGCGTCGCCCACCTAGCTTCACTGGGTCTTTCCCTCCTGGTACCCACTGGAGTCTCCGGCGTCCAGTCTACGGTCTCCGCCAGGCGCCACGTGAGTGGAACGACACACTGAGGACTACGCTTGCGGCTCTTGGGTTTGCTCCTTCTACTGCCGACCCGTCGCTGTTTCTGCGCACCGACACCTCTCTGCCGCCGCTCTACATCCTCGTGTACGTCGACGACTTGGTCTTTGCCACAGCGGACACTACTGGACTCGCCTACGTGAAGTCCGAACTGCAGAAGAGACACACGTGCACTGACCTGGGTGAACTGCGCAGCTACCTTGGCTTGCAGATCACCCGGGACAGAGCACGCCGCACCATTACCCTGACTCAGTCACACATGATGCAGCAGGTCCTTCAGCGCTTCGGCTTTACGTACTCCTCGCCTCAGGCCACTCCTCTGCCTACTCGCCACTCGCTCTCAGCTCTGCCTTCGGATGAGTCCGTAGAGTCGAGTGGCCCGTATGCAGAGCTTGTTGGCTGCCTCATGTACCTGATGACCTGCACACGACCTGACCTTGCATACCCTCTTAGCATTCTCGCACGCTATGTTGCTCCTGGGAGACACCGACCAGAGCACATGGCTGCAGCAAAGAGGGTGTTGCGCTACTTGTGCAGTACGTCGGGCATGGGGCTAGTGCTTGGAGGGCGCAGTCCAGTGGTCCTCACTGGGCACGCGGACGCTTCTTGGGCTGACGACCAGGCTACGCAACGGTCGTCACAGGGTTACACCTTCAGCCTTGGTTCCGGCTCTGTTTCGTGGCGGGCTACCCGCTCGTCTTCTGTTCTCGGCTCCAGTTGTGAGGCTGAGATCTACGCCGGGGCTATGGCTGCACAGGAGTTACGCTGGCTCACCTACCTGTTGACCGACCTTGGAGAGCCGCCTCGTTCTCCTCCAGTCCTGTACGTAGACAACAAGGCCATGTTGGCCTTGTGTCGAGAGCAGCGACTGGAGCACAGGACAAAGCACATTGCTCTCCGCTACTTTCTTGCTCGTGAGCTACAGCAGCGTGGACAATTGCGACTTGCGTACGTGGCCTCTGAGGCCAACACTGCTGATGTCTTCACCAAGGCACTTGCGCCTTGTGATCATCAGCGTTGCTGCACGCAGCTGGGTCTTGTGCCTGCCTTGCCTTTCTTACTCACTTCTTGACCTTGCTTGTACCTTCACCTATATATACTCTTGCGCTTGCTTACTTGACTCTTGTATATCTCTATATATGATCTTGCATGTGAACTGGCCTTGTGGCCTTTGAACTTGTGCTCGGAATGTGTGGTGACTTTGTGATCCACCCTGAGCTTTGCTTTGCTTTGCTTGACTGGTCTTGTGACCCCTTGTTGTCCCCCACTTTGCACCTCCAGCAGCACCTCCAGTAGCTCCAGAACCTCCAGCAGCACCACCAGGAGCACCACCAGTCGGACCTCCAGCGGCAGTCTCAGCGTCAACACCCTCAGCAGCACCAGCTCCAGGAGAACCCTCAGTCCCAGCAGCGCCAGCACCCACAGTACGAGCACCGCCGGGACGCTCGGCAGCAGTACCCTCTGCAGCCGAAGAACCTCCAGCACCAGTAGCACGCCTCCAGCGCCTGGCAAACCACTCACGTAGCTCCTGAGGGGAGAGTGGCTCTCGGCGAGACGAAGCACCTCCAGGCGGAGCACCCCCAGTCTCAGCACCCCCAGGCTCAGCACCCCCAGGCTCAGAACCCCCAGGCTCAGCACCCCCAGGCTCAGTACCCCCAGGCAGAGCACCCCCAGGCTCAGCACCCCCAGGCTCAGCACCCCCAGGCTCAGCACCTCCAGACTCCGCACCCCCAGGCTCAGCACCCGCAGGCGTAGCACCTCTAGTCTCAGCACCCCCAGGCTCAGCTCCCGCAGCAGCACCAGAGTCACCAGTGACCTCGACAGGCTCGACCGCATCTACCTGGGACACACCTGAAGGGGCAGGACCCTGAGGGGGGAGGGGGTCTACTAGGGGGGGACCTGGTACCAAGAAGAGCGGGGGCGGGGGGAGGGACGAAGTGCGGTAGGGGAAGAGGCGGTAGTAGGGTACCGACTCGTCGAACGTGACGTCCTGGGAGGACAGAACACGTCGAGAGGTGGGGTGGTAGAACTGCCACCCAGGGGCGTCGGGGGGGAACCCCAGGAAGACGCAGGGAGCAGCGCGAGGGGACAGCTTGTCCGCAGACAAGTCGCGGACAAACGCCCGAGATCCCCAGACCTGGAACGCCGACGCATCGCCAACCTTCCCCGTCCACAGCAGGGCTGGGGAGGTCTCCGGCCTGGAGACCCTGGGGTGGAGGTTGATCTGATGCGCTGCGTACCTGACCGCAAACGGCCACAGAAAATTGGGGGCAGCCGCATGCATCATGGACGTACGAGCGACGTCCATGACCATGCCAATGCGGCGCTCTGCAATCCCATTTTGCTGCGGGGAGTCTGGAAGCGTGAAGGTCTGACGGATGCTTCGTGCACGACAGTAGGCACGCAGAAGGCCAGAGGAGAACTCTCCGCCTCTGTCCGAGTGCAGACGCAGCACAGGAAAGTCCGAGCCAAAGCTCTGCCTGAGCTCGAGACGAGCTGCGCGGATCCATTTAATCAGCACCTCAGTGACATCACCCTTGCTTCGCAAGGGGAAGTTTGTGGTGTAACGCGAGTAGTCGTCAACCACCAATAGGAAGTAGCGCTCGTGACCGAGTCCACGGACGCGGGCAGGGCCCCACACGTCCATGTGAAGCGTCTGCAACGGAGCCTCTGTCGGAGGAAACTGGGAGGAGTGAGGGGCAGCACGCTGGCGCCCCTCGACACAGGGGACACAGGCAGGGCTAGGGCCCTGAGGAAGGGGAGGTAGAGACCGGGGGAGACCAGACACAAGAAGACGGGAGGCCATGCCTCTGAGCCGAAGCAGAGAGGGGTGGCCAAGGCGGTGGTGCCAGAGGAGGGTCTCGTGAGACAGACGGCGACACGAACAGGGGGCAGACTCAGGACCAGACCTGGACGCTGCAGCAAACACCTGACCAGACGAAGGGACTCTACCAGACTCAGCACCTGGAGGAGAAGCAGTGGTCAGTGTGTACAGGCTCGACCTTGGCTGACGTGTAAACGTAGCCAGGTGACGACCCGTGCTAGCCTCCATGTAGTGCGTCACTCGCTGACTAGCAGGGGTGAACTGGTGGACTCCCACATCCTGTAGGTCAGCACCACTCACCAAGTTCGTAGAGAACGAGGGGAGGTAGAGACCAGACAGGGTGCCAGAGGGAGCCGCCGGACACGGGAGGACCGTGGAGAAGCGAGCCAGGACAGGACCCCCAGAGGGGTCAGCCAGGGAAACCGCAACCGGCCGACTAAGCGGCGTAAGTGTGGTGCGGTCCCGAAAGAAAGAGCGAGACGCTCCAGAGTCAAGAGTGAAGGTGTGGGAGGCCGAAGCCGGCGCAGTACCTGAGAGCGCAGAAGCACTAGTACCTGAGAGAGCAGTCTCACGAGCACCTGAGAGCACAGACGCACTGGCACCTAGAGCAGAAGCCTCACCGGCACCTGGAGCAGCAGTACCAATGCCCGGGTCGGGCGGGAAACACCGGTAACAGTCACCCTCCTCACTAATGGTCACAGCATACATGGCAGCAAGGATAGCATCAAAATCAAGATCAAAGATAGCTACACCAGCCCTAGACAGCTCTCCCCAGCGGGTGATCTCTGCGGCCCCCGGGAACTGCTGACGCCAAGCGTCCGTTAGGCGGCCAAAGCAGCGTTGGGCGGAGTGGGCACCCCCACACTGCTCTCCAGTGCGGTCGCCAGTGCGGAGAACGTAGGTGCAGGGACCAAAACCCCCACCGCGCTGACGCTGCGTGTACCACTCACGGAGCTGCTGAGGGGTGGGGACGTCGCGAGAACGCTGCTGCTGCTGCTGCTGCTGCTGCTGGCGCTGACCGCCACCAGTGCCGCTCCGCTGCGAAGCTCCACTCCGACCACCTCCACCTCCGCCACCCCCGCCTCCGCCTCCACCGCCCCCGCCTCCACCTCCACCGCCGCCACCTCCGCCACCTCCGCTACCACCGCCACCGCCGCCGCCACTCCCGCCTCCACTGCTGCCACTAGCACCCCCACCCCCGCTACCACCTCCATCGCCACCCCCACTCCCTCCGCCGCCTCCACCTCCACCGCCACCGCCCCCACTGGCCCCACCCGCTCCCTTGCCCCCCTTGCCCTTGCCAGAGCGGCGTCTCCCGCTAGGGGCAGACGCCGCACCGACCGACTCAAGACCAACGAGGTCGGCCGCAGCGGCAGAGGCGACAGAGGGCAGGAGAGGGGAAGGAGAACACCCCTCAAAGATGGGGGCGCGGGGGTCACCTCGAGAGGCTCCTACAGCAACTATGCTCTTCTCTGCTGCAAGGAGGGCCTTCTCGAGGCTGTCGACTGTGAGGGTGGTGGGACACACCGCGAGGAAGTGGTCCCGGACTACACGAAGGGAGTCAGGGAGGCGAGTGACTAAGAAGTAGAGAGTGATGTACATGGGGGGGGGTTCTTGGCGCAGAAGTCAGCAGGAAGCGCAGCGCGGTAGCGACTGTCACTAGTGCGGAGGTGCGTGATGAGATCAGCGACAGTGGGAAAGGCGGCAAGGTCAGGGAAGAGGAAGGGGAGCATGAGGCGGCTCAGTGCAGCAGTGGCAGGGGAGGAGTAGCGCGCAACTACAGCGTCGTACAAGGTCCGGGCACTCTTGTACTGGCTAAAGTGCGCGCGCTCAGCGGTAGGCAGGTGGCGACGCACAGCAAGACGTGCAGCAGCATCGCGCGTGGCCCACTGAGAGCGAACAGTGGCGTCAGCATCAGCGGCAGGGGCAGGGACGGCGCCAGAGGTGAGGTCAAAGAGAGACAGACCGTCAGCCCTGTCGCACTGTAAAAACAGCTGCAGGTCGTCGAGCCAGACCTCAAAGTCAATGGCTCGACCCTCAGCGTCAAAAGCGAGGACACTGGGTGTAGCCATGACGACGACAGTGGAGCAGTGCAAGCAGTAGGGGAAGGGTACGCAGTGACAGCAGTGCAGTGCTCACCGGGCATGGCAGGTCGGGCGGCTTGGGAGGAAGGTCGCCTGGCGGAACGGCCGCTAGGCTACTGGGCGGCTCGGCTCCCGGGCGGCTCGGCTGCTGCTGGGCGGCTCGGCTGCTGCTGGGCGGCTCGGGGGCTGCTGGCGGCGTGGCTGCTGCTGGGCGGCTCGGCGGCTCCGGGCGGCTCGGATGCTGCTGGGCGGCTCGGCTGCTGCTGGGCGGCTCGGCGGCTCCTGGGCGGCTCGGCTGCTCCGGGCGGCTCGGCTGCTGCAGGTGGGCGGCTCGGCTGCTGCAGTCGGGCGGCGCGAGAGCAAGGGGCGGCGGGGCCGTTAGTGCTGGGGCGGCGGGGCCGCGAGACCAGGGGCGGCGGGGCCGCGTAACAGGGGCGGCGGGGCCGGGAGCGCTGGGGCGGCGGGGCCGCGAGATCAGGGGCGGTGGGGCCGTGAGCGCTGGGGCGGCGGGGCCGTGAGATCAGGGACGGCGGGGCCGCGGGCGCTGGGGCGGCGGGGCCGCGTATCAGGGGCGGCGGGGCCGGGAGCGCTGGGGCAGCGGGGCCGTGAGATCAGGGGCGGCGGGGCCGTGAGCGCTGGGGCGGCGGGGGCCGTGAGATCAGGGACGGCGGGGCCGCTGGCGCTGGGGTGGCGGGGCCGCGTATCAGGGGCGGCGGGGCCAGGAGCGTTGGGGCGGCGGGGCCGCGAGATCAGGGACGGCGGGGACCGCGAGTGCTTGGGCGGCGGGGCCGCGTATCAGGGGCGACGGGGCCGGGAGCGCTCGGGCGGCGGGGCCGCGAGATCAGGGACGGCGGGGGCCGCGAGCGCTGGGGCGGCGGGGCCGCGAGAGAAGAGGCGGCGGGGCCGCGTTCACTGGGTGGCGGGGCCGCGAGGGTAAGGCCGGCCGCTAGGGCGGCTCGGTGAAGGAGTGGCCCGAGGCGCGACTCGGGATGAGCGCGCTTCGGGCAGAAAAAAAAGATTTCGAGTGGTGGGCCCTAGGCACAGTTCCCACAGGGGAACCTGCTCTATACCATGTGGAAAACTGAACGAGAATGAATCAACTATGAATGAAGTGAGTACAAATATGAAACCCTAATTGGGTTGTACCCCCTATGGGATACCCCACTATAGCCTACACAAATAAGTAAGCTATAATGTTCTGACATATCAGTTGTGTACAAAACTATGTTTTTACAACACTTACGATTTTGCAATTACGGTAGCTTGAAAATCGGAAAGTGTGTCAGGATTTCGAGAACTGCGTCAAAATTTATGAAAACTGTGTCAGAACCTCGGAGAGTGTGCCAGAGGTTTCTGCTTCAAGATTTGTCGATTTAGTCTGTCGCGAGCAGGAAAAACCAGAATCAGGGTCATTTTGGGCGAGGGTTTCTTCTACTTACCATTCGCGTGATGGGCTGCTAGTGTATAGTTACCATACGCGTTAAGCGAGTTACCAAACGTGTTAAGCGAGTTAACAAACACGTTAAGCGAGTTACCAAACGCGTTGAACGCGTTATAGTGCCCCATGTAAGTTACCATTGACATATTTTCCCTTCTCCCTTCCAGGAGTATGGCTTTCCCGACGTATCCGAAGGGGAGCAATGCGATTGGATTTGGCTTGACCTCGATCAATGAATTGCAGCTGTAAGGAAAATCGCTTTTCCTTACTTCGCATCCCTGCTCAACGCGTACATCACTGTAGCACCACAGTCAGCACCGTTACCACTCGCGATCCTCGCCTCGACAATCAGCCCGCCATTTTTGCACATCGCATCCCAACCTCACGGCTCGGCTGGTAACCCGCGCTCCGGGCCTCCACTTCGACACTTTCCCAAACCTCAGTCCCAGGCCCGTCGCGCGACAACCACAGTCCATTACCGTTACCACTGTAGTTTCGCTATATATTCTTCGCTCATGCCTTCGCTCATTGTACTCTTGCTTCGATAGTGCAATTCTTGTTCATTCACTCAATTGCACTCATAACACTTGGTATTCAGAGCCTACGATCTCCTCTCGGACCGCACCCACATTTTCGCTTCCCCACTATCTCAATTTTTGGGGGGGGGGGGGTAGACGTCTCTCAGCGATACAGCACCGCCGCTTGTAGTGCTCTCTCGTAAGCACGCACGGCCACGACCGAGGCTCTCACTGAGCTCGCCCGACACCCCCGCCATGGCCGATTTCACGCTCGCCACATTGACGCAGGAGCAGCTTGATCGTTTCGTGCGCCAACTTGAAGACTCGGCGCTCGAAATCGCGATGCTCACGGCGGAACGTGACTCCGCCCGTCAACAATCCACGGTGAACATTTCCGCAACATCACACGCACCGACAAATGCATCTACATAATCGAACGAGCCGATCATCATTTCATCCGGCACACCAACGCAATACGACAGCATGGGACAACGCTCAGGCGCAGCCAGTGATGGCGCCGCCCAGCCGATGCCTGGCATGGGAGGAAGCAGGGTCGCACCAAGCCCGCGGGAGCCCCGTGAAGCCCGTCGGCACGTGGAGTTCGCGGCGACAAGTGGCGAACAGGCCATTATGGCACCAATGCCGCTCAAGCCACAACGCCCGCCCTGCTTCGACCCAAGCTCACGTGGAGGTCCGACGGTTCAATCGTAGGTCTTCACGATGAACGTCTTCTTCGACGCGAACTACGTCGAGTCGGACGCCGCAAAGATTCAGTACGCAGTTTCGCTGCTAAGGGGCCCCGCCATGGACTGGTGGCGAGTCATCGTGACGTCGCCACGCGCCTACGAGCCACCGTCGCACGAGGAAGGGCCCACGGGTCCAGCTGTCACCTGGAGTTCGTTCTGCGAGACCGCCCAATACAGCACGTGGGATGCGTGGTGCGCAGGGCTTCGGGCGCGCTTCGAGCCGATTGCGGCTTCCATTTCGGCGCGTCAGAGACTGCGCACTTGGCGGCAACTCGGGTCGGTTCAAGATTATACGAGCGGTTTTCTCGCACTATGCGAGCAGGTCGGCTATATGCACAAAGCGGAGCGGGTGGACCGTTACGTCGGAGGGCTGAAGCCAGATATCTCGCACGAAATCATGCTACGCGGACTCTCCAACTTCAACGAGATTCTCGCGCTCGCCGAGAAAATTGACATTCTACGCCGACCGAGACCAGGGTCCTACTACGGACATCGCCCTCGGGGACCGACCGAGCACGCCACTGTACACGCTGTTGCAGCGAATGCAGCTGCCGCACCATTTAAGGGGCGCTCCTTTGCTTGCAACAGGTCGGGCCATCGCAAGAGCGAATGCCTAGAGGAGCTGAGACGCCGCGGAGCAGAGCAGGGGAGGGAGTCTCAGAGGCAGGGAAACGCCAGCAGTCAGTAGAAGTTGGGCCAACTACTGACGAGACTGCGTGCTCGCCCAACCGCACCGACCCTCACCGAGTCACAGTACCGATTCACGCCATCGATCGGGCTCGGATGAATAAGGAGGGTACAGCGACAGATTGCCCAGTAGTGATCCACGGGAAAATACAGGGAGCAGCAGTGAAGATTTTTATTGATGGAGGAGCGAGTCACAGTTTAGTTAATACTGCAACCGCACGAAAACTACAGTTAA